CCTTTTTTTTTCTGAAAATTTTTTTTATTAATTTACATTCATTCCCTGAGCATCATCACAACATACAAAATGTGGTTTCCTATCTAGAATAAACTGGATAGTGGCTTAATCATGCATGTTATCATCCATAATATTCCATTTCTACTTTCATGTATATTCCATTGACAGCTCAAGACAGGACAAAAGTCCTTAAAACCGGACAACAAAGCTTAGAAGAAAAGCAGCAATATTTTAGTCAAGTCATAGAATGCTGTTTCATCAGTTCAGTCTCATGTACTTAATTTTCTTCTGTTTCTGTTGAGGTTCGATCTTCCAGATTGAACTCTGGGATATAATACTCAACTCCAGACTTTGTCCCTACAATTAAGTTGCCCATTTTCTTAGTTTCTGAACTCTTATTTCTGTGTGTCTGCATTTAATTTTACTGACATAGCACTCCCTTAAGAACTTCTTGGAGATCTGGCCTGGTGCTGGTAAATTCTTTCAGGTCTTGTTTATCGAGGAATGTCCATGTCTTTTCTTCCCAAATGAATGATAATCTTGCTGGGTACAGAATTCTCGGTTGAAATTGCTTTTCCCTTAACACGTTGAATATATTCTCCCATTCTTTCTTCGTTCGCATTGTTTCCGATGAGAGGTCGGTCTGCCGTTAGTCTGATGGGATATCCTTTGTAGGTAACTTGCCATTTTCCTCTTGCCAGTCTTAGAATCTTGTCTTTGTCTGTGGTTTTGGTCAATCTGGCTATAATGTGTCTTGGAGAAGATCTTCTTGGGTTGATTCTATTTGAGGTGCTCTGTACTTCTTGGGAATGGATCTTTGAGTGCCTCTCCAGGTTTGGAAAGTTTTCTCGCAGGATTTCGTGGAATAGATTATCAATGCCCTTATGAGCTTCTTCGCCTTCTGGTATGCCTATTATCCGGATGTTCGGACGTTTAATTGTATCTACTATTTCTCGGTTATTATTCTCAAATTTTTGGGCCATTTTCTCAGTCTTCGTGGTGGATTTTTCTAGGCCAGCAATTTCCTCTTCTACACCTAAGATTCTATTTTCTGTATGATCTACTCTGCTTTTAATACTTTCAAAAAATATGGAATGCTTCACAAATTTGCATGTCAACCTTGTGCAGGGGCCATGCTAATCTTCTCTGTATCATTCCAATTTTGGTATATGTGCTGCCGAAGCGAGCACTAAATGTGTATTTTTTAATAGAAAAAAAAAATCAGGTGACTATAATGCTATCATAAAACTAAGCAATGAAGTGTTTTATTTTTTCTAACTTTTGTGTACCTGTAGTTCTTACTGCTTAGTTAATATGTTGACTGTTCTCATTGAATATTCCAAATATAGACAGTATTAGTACATGTGGGGTGGAAGCAAGCACTCAGAGAGAGATTTTATTTATTTTTTTTTTTATTTTTTTTTGTCACAGAGAGCATGAACTTGCCAGGTATAGGCAGAGAATGGGAAAGTGAGAAATCACCCACTAGGGGGAATGGCTATGTCACCACAGTCCCCTCTCTATTCTCTTGGTTTCTGGGCAGGAAGAACATGTGCCTGGTATGATTCCCCAAGCTGCTGGCCTGGAACCCGGGTTGGCTGGCCATGTTGGAATCCAGCACCCCAACTACTGCCACCTGTTATCCCCAAATAGAGACATTTTTACAACAAAATGTTTCTATACTCTCTGAGAATTCTTTGGGAGACAGGATTTGTCTTATGAAAATGTCAATGAAAATCACAGAATGAAATGACTGAATAAATTTTTGCTTCTAACCATGTTTAATTTTAAGCTGATAAAATAGATGTTTTTATAAAAATATTTTATCTCATATACATAAATATATGTAAACATTTCAAAGGCATTTTATGCCTTCTAAATGTATGATACCACAGATACACATGGAGCTTCATATTATTCACTCATTCATTTCTTTGAAAAGTGGTCTAGAAATATAACAATGACTATGGTCTAGCTGACGACTGATGCAGCATCCTGCTGGGCACTGGGGAGGTTCAAAGAAAAAGACCAGTACTTCCTTCTAAAACATTCATAATCGAGGGGTATTTAAAGTGCTGGATTCCATGTGGCCAAGCACAGTTTGAGTTCCAGACCCTGTGACTTGAAATTCACACTGGGTGTGTGTGTGCGTATGTGTCCAAAATCTCTAGAGGAGAATGGAACTGAAGGGATTTTGAAGTGGCCATCAACTAAGGGGTGATTTCTCACTTTTCCTCTTCCTGTCTCTCTTAGGCAAATGTGCCCTAAAAAGACAAAACAAAATGATGAAACAAAAACCTCACAATAGATTTTGGGAAAACAAAACAAAAATTTCATAATAGTTATGGGGGGGGAAAGCTGGTCATTTGCTCATTCATTCACTTATCTATTCAGTCTGTAAACAAGTGTTTATTGTGTCATGTCTGACACTGATAAATTCTGAGAAAAAGAGAGGGAGTGTATTGACATGCTTTCTAATCCCAAGGAATTTTGGCATTCATAGAGTTAAAATGAATTAGCCAAGCCATAAAGTAGGATGACTCTAAAATACTATTCATTAGTACACACAAACAAATATTCATTCTTATTTACACAGGTCCATTTTATAGATGTTTAAAAAATTATACCTGGTATTCTGGCTTTCATAAGTAATCTAACGTAAGTCCCTCTCCACATGGCTTGAATTTTAATTGCTGCTGCTACTTCCTCAGGAGAATATTCTTTCTCACTTGCTGGTATACAAGATTTCATGTCTGTCCATTCCACTGAAAAGAGAAAAAAGAAACTTCGACCTGAAAGTTACATTTAATCCTTTTCCCAAGTTTCAATGGCTTTCACTACTAAAGCATATAAAATACCACAGTGATAGGTTTGTCATATATATAAAACACTGCTTACTATAGGTGGTGCTTTTGAGATTGGAACCATTCTGGAGAAGGGAAACAAAACATAGTGACAGTGACACCTTAATGAACCACTGTTATCATCCTTCTATGAAAGTAGCTAGAAGTTGCTCTCAGAAATAAAAGGGGAGGGGCAACAGGGAGTGAAGTGGCTAAGGCCCTGGACTCCCATGTGGTCTACTGTGGTTTGAGTCCTGGACCTTGGAACTTGAAACTCACACCTGGAACATGTGTGTACATGCCCAAAATCCCAGGAGGAAAATGGAGAAGAGTCTGCAGCATGGCCATTGCCCCAAGGGAATGATTTTTTACTTTCTGTCTGTCTCTCCAGTGAGTATAAAAGTGGCAAAGAAAACAAGGCCCTGCTGTGGAATACTGGGACCACATGGGAAGGCTAAGGATTGGGGTCCTTGGTAGGCCTGAACAGCCAAGGGTGCTCACATATGCATCCTTATTTATGGTTGGTTTGATCCTGCTAGGGCATCCCTGTATCTCCCTCACAGTTCCCCTTTCTCTCATGAAGAAAAGAAAAACATTTTTTTAAGATGAAAGAAAATGTTAAAATGGTAGGAATAGAGATTAGGGAAAGGAGGATAGTGGGGTTGTGTTGAGAGATCTTTCCAGAATTCCTCAAATCAAACACTATAGCTTAGTGACTCTGATATATAATAAAGCACTGGAATCCACAACTCCCTAGAGATGAGTAGAAGCCACTCAATAGATCCTAAGATCCCCTGGAGTTCCCTGAGCATAGCTTGAATTACCCTTCCACTGTGGTCCATGCAGAGCAGTTCTAACTTCTTCACACAAATGTTGAGTACAATTTTCTCAAATGTATCTTATTTAAGACTAAAATTCCTTGGTAAAATGTCTAACGTTAAGACAATACCTAAAGAAATCTCTTCCAAGGAGGAATCGAGTAACTCCATGTCCAAAACCAGAGCACGGAATGCAAATTTGAAGTTTGGAGATGGTTTTGTTATTTGAATTTTTTTCATTATACGCCATAAAGAAACATGAAAAACCTGAAAAAGTTAAACATACATTTATATAATTTTTAAGCCAAGAAAATACCATCACCTGGCCAGAAAGACTTAAAAAAAAAAAAAAGATACTTTAACAATAATATTAATATTTTAGATGTACACATAGTTTAACAGTAAACACTTCAATATCTAACTTAGTAAGAGACCAAATTATCACTTGATTACTTCTAATGTAATAATCACTACAATAATCACCACTATTTAGCAAGCACTAGTCACTTCAATATTTATACTAGACACCCGATGAAAATACAGCATTAATCTGGTTGAGAGGATATTGAGTAAGATTAAAAAAAATGTAATTCTGTGCTTAAGCAAGTTAAATGCCATATTTTATTGATTCTCAGACACCATCTACTTAACATACATTACTATTTCATGGGTTTCAAAAAAAAACAGAAAGAAAATATGCTGTTTAGAGTTTTTATCAGTTTCTTATCACTTAGGAGTACTTATTTCATATGGGAAGAAGCTTTTTAGATTTCTTTAGACATAGATTTTTCATCATATATTACACTTAAACATATATAAAAAAATAAACTGCATAAATTGGTTAAGTGTTCCAAAAACAAATTCATATCCAAATGTTATTCTTCCAAATCACATTTTAACTGAAAATACTTAGTGTCTGTATTTTCTCTTACACTCTTATCTTTCTCCTTGTCAAAAGCTTTGAAGACGCACCACGGCCTAAAGATTATTCTCTACTTTTGTTCGTGAGGTTTTTCCTAAGGCGCTGATTCCCAGTTTTCAAGTGCTGATGCTCGTTCATTTTTGCTTTTGCCAAGGAGAATTAACAGAAGGTTTATCAGACCACAGCCAGAACTCATGTTCTTTCTTCCAAGTTTTTTCATGGTTTCCATTCTAAAATGGTGAAGGATTCCATTTATGTTCTACCACTTAGGAAAAAACAAACAAAACCAACCAAACAAAAAAACAAAGCATAGCACATTTCTGTTGGCTTCTGTTTAGCTATTTCCATGCTCATCAAGAGTATTGAACTTGGTGGGCATCGGTTCAAGGCCCCTGGGGTACTATTTCAGGTGACTTTTAGGCAGTTGCTTCTCTTTTTCTTTTTCTGTTTTTTTCCTTGAATCCTGGGGGATTTGTGCTGGTCTGAGGAAGCGCTCCCTTTTCACATTTTTTTGAGAGGTTCTGCTATGCCATTTAATTAAATTCCCTCAAAGGATTAAGCTTTTGTCTAACAATTACACATAATTCTTTTGAAGTGGTGACAGTAGACCCCTATGAAGGGAGATTTCTATGCATGCACAGAAAATTCTCAGGCCAAATTGCCTCCAATGATTGTAAGAATAACTAATTATAGGAAATACTAATTTTCATTCTGAAGTTAGGTGTGAAAACAAATGTGCATCTTATAGTTGGTGAAACACAGGGCCCTACAAAAGCACTTGAGTATTGTAGCTCCTATTCGGTTCCATTTTCTGAGAATTCCTCACCTCTCTCCATATGTATCGAAACAGGGACCTAACCCCAGATTATCCTGCAAATAATTTGAAGTCCGGATGGAGACATTCTAAACTGGTCTCATAGGGGAAAGGGATGTAAAACTCGGTAATTATTAATGTATTTCCCATGATATGGACTGAGTAGAGAAAGTAATAGCCCAAACAGAGAATAAGTAAGAACATAGACTACCAAAGTAATCTAGCCCCTCTTTGAGGTTTCTCACTGAGTCATTTCTACCTGTAGGTGTCAAGAATATATGCCTAAGGAGCAGCAGATAGTGCAATGGTTGTTGGACTCCCATGTAGTAGACTGTGGTTCAAGTCCTAGACTAGGGGCTTGAAACTCATGCCAGATGTGTGTGCATACATGCCCAAAATCCTGAGAGGAGAATGGAGGAATGAGAAATGTAGTGTGGCCATCCCCTTGGTCTTTCTTTCTGTCTCTCCAGCAAGACACATGCCCTATAGCAAAAATTTCTCTTAAAAAAAAAAAGGAATATGTGCCTATATTTTTATAAGAAATCAACACACTCAGATCACTTTTGTGGTTTAAATGAGTCAGATGTGTTTTCTATGACATGCTGATGAAATTCCCCCAATACTTCAACAGCTAAGATGGAAATACAACAATAAATAACTAGGTTAACCCTCTTATTCTCTGTTACACTTGAGAATGTAACTTGGTCATGTTGACATTCTATGGTATATCAAAACATGAATGTTAAAGATGACAGTGAAGTCAGACCCGAGGGACCAAAAGTGACAAAGACTTCGATCCTCCATTAAGACACAAGCATGCGCTAGCATAGGAAGTACACCCTACAGCGATGCATGACCTTGCCACATTAGCAAAGGTTTTACAGGTCCAGAAGGCTGGGCCTGTGGGGACATTCTCTCTCTAAGGCAAAGGATAAGTTGATGCAACTTAGAAAGAGGTTAGTGCCAGGTAGTCATCTCTAGATTTTAGATTTTGATAGAAGGATATTCTGCTCTTGGGAACACTGTTCCCTTACATTTGTTGAGTAGCACAAAAGTCATTAGCTTCATGGGGCACAAAGAACGAGAGGACTCTATAGAAATTTGGGCATCCTAGAAAAGAAACATAATCTGATCTAATTTAGTTGCAAATATGCTAATAAAAGACTTTCCAGTGAACGCACCCATGTTATTTGCTAGCTAAAGAGCTCTATCTATGAGTTACTTTAAGTATAATGCATCTAATCTGTCTAGAATGTTATAGCAGACAAATGTGGGATTTATTGCTTTATAGGCCATGAGTCTCTGAAAATTGTCACATAGCTATGTAATTCTCAAAGTATAAAATGGAGATGTTTCATTACTGAATTATCAAACCGCTCTCTTTTGTGTAAGTGATGTGTGTATAGACACCTTACACATTAAACTAGGGTTGGTTAGAAAAGGCCCATACAAAAATAGTCTTGGTAGCAGGGATGGTGTCTATGCATGCAACCAACACCATGGACTCCTTTTTCACTCAGGATCAGTCAGCAGCAAAAACTGACCTGATCCTTTGATAATGGTACCATCCTTTGAGAAGTCCAGCCAGTCACATGGTGACAAGTTGATTTCAATATAGTTTAATGAGGACTAGTGATTCATCTTTGCTAGAACTCATACCTGCCAGAGGTAAAAATTTGCTTTCCCTGTCCTCAGCCTTTGCAGCATCATTATCCAATATGCTATAAAAAATCTGACTTACAAATATAGGATCTAGCCTAGCATAACCTCAGACCAAGGGTCATCTTATACAATGAAGATTTAACCTTTGAGGAATAGCCTGAGACTCATTAGTCCTTACATATACCATACACAAAAGTGATCAAATTTCTGTAAAATGGGGAAGGTATATGAGAAGCTCAGCTAGGAAGCCAGCCTGGAGATACCACCTTGCAACATGTACATGTTGAACTAAAGACTAATCTGCAGCATTATATCTGCATATCTTAGACACACGGGCCTGCACAGATTTCAGAGATTTAAGGTAGGAAGCCTCTCTTCCCATCATGTGCAGTGACACATTTGCAGAACCTGTGTGCTTTTCCAATGAAAGGGCATTTATTGGACTGAACTGCTATGTTCCTGGGAGGGGGGAGACAGAGGATTTTTCCACCATGAACACAACATTATTGACAATGAACCTGAACTATGATGTATGTCTGCTTGCTTTGGGTTCTTCATCCTGGTGGACAAGCTAGGGAAAAAATATATTAACATAATGGGGTGGAAGAGGACTCACACTGATCATGCAGTAACTAGGATTCCTATTACATAATGGGGTAGGGAGAATTTGGTATAGAACTCGATGGAACACTTCTTGGTACTTCTACAGTGAATAATTAATTGCAGTCATCAGGGCCTGACAAGAGTAAGGCAACCAAGGTCTTGCACTTATCATCATTAAAGATCTGGGTCACCCATCAGGCAAATAACTGGAGTACTGGCTGGAAAAGAGGGAAATCTAGATGGTTGTAGAAAAGATATGTTAAATACAAATTGTGGTCTGAGAACCAGTAGTAATAGTAGAGACTATAGTTTTCTTGTCATATGGTGATTATATTATTTATTTATTTAAATTTAGAACTTGTGACCAGTTTCCATCTTGAAGAATGGGTAACAGATTTTACTTAAGAGAAGGGGAGCACTATCGGATGAGTTGTAGAGGTAGATCATGGCAAATATGTCTAGTTTATCATTCATGCTCTAGGTAAGTGGTTCTTAACTGGAGGTGACCAGATAAAATACATGAAACTCTAAGGGGTAATACAAACTGAAAATACAAGACTTACTTCTCCCCATGCAAAGTAAGGGAAGAGGCTCCCCACACATGCTCAATGTTCTTAGAACATTTACTTCAGAAAACTTTAAATTGTGAGTTCTTTCTTCCTCTTTGAAAGAACCAGTTATTGTTTATCTTGAGAGTGTGTATGTAATAGACTCTGTATCTGTCTAACTATATAAAAGGGTGAGAATTATTTTTCTGTCTTTTCTTAGTAGATTGTCTATAATGTGAATCACATTCTGGTTCACCATTTATTCAGTGATAAATTGTTTTTCCCCTTCTTATACTTTATGAAGAGGTCCTCTAGGTTGGGAGAAGGATTTGTTTTTAGTTATATTTCCCCAATAACACCCAATACCCAGTTAAGTTTGAAAAACAGATACAATACATTAGTATAAGTAATTTTAATAAGTATGTCTTAAATACTCCACATACTATTTACATAATATTAAAATTTAATGAGAATGATGTATTTTTGTTTGCAAAATCATATTGTGAAGCCATTTTTATTTGTCACAACTGGATGCTACCAGGCATCCAATGGGTATAGACCAGTGATGTTGCTAGACATTTTATACTGCTCAGGACAACCCAAAACAAAATGATCTAATCTGAAATGTCTTAGAGTAGCTGTGGTGGACAGATCTATGTATACTCTCAGTCTCTCTTTTTAATCAAGGCTCTTTACTTCTGTCTCTCAAACTGTCTGCAAAGCCAGAATGCTGCTTAGCCCTAGCAAAGGCAGTTAGGAGGAAGTTAATGCCCCAAGAGAAACCACCTACCATTAGAGGAAAGAGTTGGGGTATGTGTGCCATAATCTCCCCATCCCTTTGGTGCCTCCCTTCTGAGGGACATCCTGCACAGTTTATAAATGTCTCCTGAATGACCGAGGAGCACACAGCTTAATGAGCATATCATTTGGTGGATTTCACTCTATTTTTCATCTTGTTCTTCCCATACTATCATTCTGCTTCTTGAAATCACTTCCCTAAAAAAAATTATCTCCATTTAGAAGATTTTCTCAGGTTGAGCTGGAAGGTCATCTAATATAAACGTGTTATTTCGAATGGGAAGTTTCCTCTCCTGAGCACCATATTGGAATAAACTTACCCTGAAGTGCTGGGCTGTTAATTCTTTATCATGGAGGGGGATAGGGTAGTGAACTGCTTGAAGATCCTTCAGAGCTATGGAAAGTTTCCCCTTATCCTTGAAATTAGCAATGACATTTCCAACAGCTTTCAAAATTATGAGAGCCTGTTCTGTGAATCTGTAGCTCTCCTGTAAAGACAAAGTACAGCAGCCATTCTCACTAGCTTTAATTTCAGTGTGATTAGACTTACATAAAAGCTATTTTCTGTAAAAATGTTAAATGCCTGGCTAATTCAATTGTTAGTAATGGAGGATGTATTTGGTCAAGGCATTTTACTAGATGCGGTGGTCTCAGAGATACAAAGGACAAAGCACAATTCCTACCTCCATGAGAACACTAGAAGAAACACCTAACTCATGCTCCGAGTCAAGGAAAGTTTCTCCATAGTATTCATAGCCAGACTTAGTGCTGAGGGGTACCTAGACATTAGTCTGACAAAAACTGTGGGGTCTGAGACTGGTAGACAAGATTTCAGGGGACAGAACTGTAAAGATCAAAGGGGACAGAGAGTGACCTAGCACAGGTACTGTCACCCTCCCCCATCAGCACTGAGGAAGCAACAAAAGGAAGAAGGAAACAAGGATTTCAGGAAGTAACTGAAACAAACAAAAATGTAGAAAATTCTGAGTTATTTGCAGTCTGTGATGGCCAGTGGACAGTCTTGGAGCTGCCCAGAACAGTGGGGGAGGGGGGGTGTGTGTCAACACCATGAAATGGGTGAAGTTAGAAGAAAACTTGGTTGAGTCTGTCTTTGCCTCTTTCCTAGAGGACACTGTGATACAATCCTTGCTCCTCAGTTCTGTGCAGAAATTTTGGGGAGGGGCCCAGCAAGCATGCCCGGGCAGTATGGATGTCTGCTGGGATAAGATGATGGAAATGGGTGCAACTGACATGCCTTACTAATGCATTTCTTCTCTATTACTTCCTTCAAATCCTCTCACAGGCTAGAAGTCTCATCTCAATGGTGTCTATCCCTGAATCCATGCCCAGAAAATTCTCAGGTAAAGTGACAGTATTGAGAGTGACCAATTACAGTTCCAAGGAGCTGAGTCTCCCTGTGTATAGGACAATCTCTCCTCTTTTGCTTCTTCATTAGAACAAAAGAAGATCAGGGCTTAAGCTTGAGCCCCAGCAATCTTCACAGAACAGAGAAGTGTTATCTTCAGAAAAATAGGAGCTCACAGACCCAAAGGACTAAACAATTAGGGAGTTAAATCACCTAAATGAAGGCTGAAAGATAAAAACAAATAAATAAGACACAATATCTAAGGTAGAGTAATTTTTAAAAAGATTAAGAATCTGAAATAATCAGAATAAATACAGTTAAGGAAATAAGAAGCATTTGCTTATAAGCTGGATCTGCTGATCTTTCTGTGCCTACTGAGCAGGAGGGAAAGATTGACAAGAGATGGCACAGACATCGAGGAGGCAGCCCAAGGAAACCATGTATACCCACTGCCTAGACATGCAGGAACACAACAGTGAGCATAGCGTAAGGGAGCTGGTCATGACCCATCATGCTCCTTGCTACAAGATATGCTGGTTGGCTTAGAGAATCCCTCTATAGAAGGTCGTGCCACTTGGGTGGTCTGTTTTGATTTGTGGGGTGTTTTTTTTTGTTTTTTTTTGTTTTTGTTTTTGTTTGTTTGTTTGGGGAAGAGTTGGTGGTGAGCATGTTTAGAACTCAGGGACTGTCAGGAATTATGTAGCAGGAAGGCCATATGCAAGTATTTCCCCAAATTCACGTGTGCAGACAGGGCATTCAAAACTAAGAGAAGCTAGAAGACTTCAGAGGAGATGCTGGCTGCATTTACCTCACCTCTTCTTTCAGTCCGTGTCAGAGAAGAGGAGCTAGAGAAACCAAGAAAGAACAGATGAAGGGGAAGTGGCAGAACCTTTCAGGAACCAACCTCTGCCCCCTGAGTCCCAGAGACACATACTCCAAATTCCTTAGGCCAAGGAAAAGATGAAGGGAACGAGATTAAAAATTTTACCATAATCAAAAGGACCAGTAATACTATGGAATCTACCTGCGGTATTAACATATATGAAAGATGAATCAAAAGGGTAGAGGTGAAGGCAGTTTTTGGAGGAAAATAAAAATGTATCTGTGTACCTACAGAGCTTAGATTGTTCCTCAGCGATGCCATTTGGGAGTTTCTTACAGAGTATGCTTAATAGTTTTGAAAGGTTAAAAAATGGTTAAGTTTAATAAACAATAGAAAAAGGATTACGTTCACTTTCTCTGCAAGTACAACACAAAAATATTACAGATGCTAAAATATTTACCGACTCAAAATTGGGCAGCACAACATCTTCATCCCCAATAACAAAAGTCACCATGCTGCAGACATGCAAGGTGTGTCCCACCAGGGAGTAGGCAGTGAAGACCAGCATGTGTCTCCTAAAGAGAATGGGTTATAGATGAGACCAAGGGCTTCCTTTGTTGTAGTATTTGCCTCAATCGGTTGTTTTATGACAGTTTGAAACTAAGAATAAATCAAAGGTTAGTTAAGACAGAAGGGTTAAAAACCTCTGAAATTTCACTTTCAAAGAACCATCAGAGGAACCAGCAGATGATGTAGTGGTTACATTGCTGGGCTCTCACATAATTGACTGTGGTTTAAGTCCTGGACCTGGCGGCTTAAAACTCCTGCCGGATGTGTGTGTGTGCACACGCCCAAAATTCCAAGAGGAGAAAGGAAGAGAAGGGATTGTACCATGGTCATCCAGCCTAGGGGGTGATTTCCCATTTTCTGTCTCCGGTGAGTGCATATACCTTATAGCAAAAATCTCAAAAAAAAAAAAAAAAAAAAAAAGAAACCATCAGAGTTGATGGAATCTTTAAGTTACTAGTAACAAAGGACAAAAATAGACTAAGCAACAAACTTGCACATATGAGAGCAATTTCTTACACAATGAGTCATGTGAAAGGCTAGTCTTGAGATTTCCCTAAATACAGTACCGTTGGCGCAGGGCTTTGTAGATTTCATTCTATCCCTTGCGAATGCATCATTTTACATGTTGTGTCTCCTACCAGGTTAAGGTATCCCTGGGAGTAGAGACATCCCCTTCTGTTATGAGAGCCTGTTCCGAACCTATATGTTGATGGATTATATCCTACCAGGGAAAATGTGGACATTGAATATTCTTTATTCAGTCCCTCTCCTTCAGTGTCTAGATAAATGAGCACTCAGACAGAGTACCTTGCTTTCTGAGGGAATCTCACCACGTCAGAGTGCTTAGCTCAGAGTGTTATTTAAGAAATGTAGACATTTCTGGAGCCAACAGATGGTATGATGGTTAGGGTGCTGGACTCCCACATGCCTAACCATGGTTCAAGTCCCAGACCCGGCTGCAGCAAACTCACACCGGGCATGTGTGAGTGCATGCCCAAAGTCCAGAGAGGAGAGTGGAGGAGAGGGGATTTTGGCATGGCAATTCTCCCTTGGTGGATGATTTCTCACTCTCTCACTGTGTCTCTGACAATTGAGTGTGCCCTATAGCAAAAATCTCTCTGTTTAAATAAAAATGTAGAAAATATAAACTTTATTGTTTTTCTAGAAATATTGGAGTATGCTATACAGTATTTTAGGAATTGATTTTGTTGCTCGGGTTTTGCTTTTTTGTATAACAACCATAGCTTTTTATCAATCCCATAGAATTAGCAGGATTCATCTTCAGGAAAAAAAACCCTGAGAGGATATTTATATCACCTGAAGTGTGATGCAATATTTTGAATTCAGTTAATCTAATCAAAACCCCTTTACATTATACATATTTTTTTTTAAAAATGGAAATGACATTTTTACCAGTTTTACCTTAAATAAAAGTATCTAACAAAACAAACTACAGGTAAAACTATAGATCAGTAGGCAGAAATGCCATGTTTCTCAACATATGTTTCAATAAAATTGAGGTTCTTGCTAAGGAATAAAAGAAGTTTCTCTGGGGCTGGCAGGTGATGTGTTGATTAGAGGCACTGGATTCCCACATGGCCAACCGCAGTTCAAGTCCCGGACCTGGTGAATTGTTTTCTCAATTTACCTTTCTTTCTATCTCTATCATGTCAAATTAAAAAAAAAAATAATAATAAGTGGAATTAAATAAATAAATAATTCTTTTTAAAAACAAACAAAAAAGACTCTTTAATGAATTACTTTTAGAAAATGCTGGATTAAGCAAGTTTAAGGAGAATTCTCTACTAGAAATTCCCAGACTCTGACAATCATGAGTCTTCCAAAAGGGCATTCAATGTACAGCATTTCACAATGTATTTGTGTAGTTCTTTTTCTCAAGAATCACAATAATACTGGGTTGTAGG